GGAGAGATAGACGGAGCTCCCTGTGCGTGTGGGAGCGAGGGGCCGAGCTCCCCGTGCGTGTGGGAGCACTGTCTATGATTCTCTAACCGTGTGACTCTGACACCTTGCTGTGTTCCCTGTCTAGGTATGACAGCCATCGAGAGGCGATTCTGAGGGGTGGTCTGAACGCTGATTATGAGGATGACAGCGTGGATTTACTGCAGTATTTCACCTCCACCTGTTACTCTGGCTACGGTGATGATGAGAAGGTGAGTTACTGAATCGCTTTGCTGATGGTTGTGAGGTTCCCATGCACAGGGTCTGCTGTGCTGTTTGGTTACGCAGAGTGAATGGTCTATGAGGGGCTCTGACTGAGCTCCCTGTTACTGCTCCTTGTCGGTGGTGGGCACATTGCTGCAGTGTGCCACAGTGCCCAGGGACAGTGCCAATGTTCTCCCTAACCAGCTGCATACCCAGGGATGGTGTGATTCACACCCCTCATACCCTAGAGTGCCCTCTGGCTGTAGTGTTTACCTCCTCAGGAATAAGACCCCTCTCCTCGTGATTGCATCCCCTGAAAGTCCCCCTTTCTGATCTTTACCCATCAGAATGGCCTTTTCCTGATCTTTACCCCGTCCCCCCAATTTTTACCCCGTCCCCCCGTCTCTGCCTGACCTTTACCCCCATCCCCCCCCGTCTCTGTCTGATCTTTGCTCCCATCTTCCCCCCCCCGTCTCTGTCTGATCTTTGCCCCCATCCCCCCGTCTCTGTCTGATCTTTGCCCCGTTGCCCACGTCTCAGAATGGCCTCTGTGTGAGTTGTTGCTGTCACTCTCTTGTAGGGTTTCTATGCGGTTTATCGAGGGATCTTTGAGCAGATTGTACAGGAGGAGCTGGAGTCCCTCCAGGAACCTGAAGATCTGGCGTTCCCGACATTTGGAGATTCCAGGAGTGACTATAAGACGGTAATGACAGCCTCTGATTGGGGGGGTTACAGGCATTGTCCAGGATGTGGAGGGGTCAGGTAGTGAGGGTGGTTTGTGGGACATTGGACTGTGGGAGGCTTCACAACCCAATTTGCATAGTGTGTATGGGCCAGTCGATGACAAACTGCTGTTGGCTGATGCTGATGGGGCTGGAGGGCGTACTTTTGTTGGGGGGGTGGGGGGCGGGGCCGTGGTGAAGTCGGAGTGTGAGTGTGGTGTATTTTACTGCCCCTACCCCTCCTTGCCCCCCAGGTGGTTCACCTGTTCTACGCTCATTGGCAAAGCTTCTGCACTCGGAGGTCGATGGCCTGGAGAGATAAATATGACACAAGACAGGCTTCAAACCACTGGGAGAAACGGGCGATGGACAAGGAGAACAGGAAGATCCGGGAGAAAGCCAGGAAGGAACGTAATGAGGTGGTTAGGCAGCTGGTTGCTTTTATCCGCAAGCGGGATCGCAGGGTCCAGGCCCACTGCCACAAGCTGAAGGAGGAGAATGCAGAGAAAACCAAGAGGTTTGAGGAGCTGCGGAGGAGACAGAAACTCCAACAGGCCAGGTACAACACGAGGACCACTCCTTCCTCCCCATCGCCTGCTCCATCTCCCTCCCTCCCTCCCTCCATCTCCCTCCCTCCCCCCACCTCCCTCCCTCCATCTGTGGTCCGTCTCGCCTTCACACCCTCGCTTGCTCACTGCTGCCTCTAACATTGTCTCCCTGTGCGTCCCTCCCACTCTCCCTCTACGTCCCTCCCTCCCTCGCTACTGCCTCTAACACTGTCTCCCTCTGCGTCCCTCCCTCCCTTGCCCGCAGCTGCCTCTAACACTGTCTCCCTCTGCGTCCCTCCCTCCCTTGCCCGCTGCTGCCTCTAACACTGTCTCTCTCTGCATCCCTCTCTCCCTGCGCGTCCCTCCCTCCCTCCCTCACTGCTGCCTCTAACACTGTCTCCCTCTGCGTCCCTCCCTTGCCCGCTGCTGCCTCTAACACTGTCTCCCTCTGCGTCCCTCCCTTGCCCGCTGCTGCCTCTAACACTGTCTCCCACCACCTGCAGACTGGCAGAGCAGTACCAGGAGCAGAGCTGGGTGGCCATGTCTGACCTTGAGAAGGAGCTGCAGCAGATGGAGGCTCAGTACGAAGAGGAGTTCGGTGATGGAGCTGACCATTTGGAAAGTTCTGGTGATCAGGATCTGAATGGGGCAGGAGATGGTAAAGACAATAACCTCTGCTTCACCCTGGTACTCTCACTGTCCACAGCTCAAACTGCGTTTCACCTCTGTTCTCGGTGTTTAAGGCTGAATTCTAATGATCCACTTGGCTGGCTGGGATTTATTTTCTTTCTTTTGTTTGTGGGATGTGAGTGTCACTGGCCCAACCAGCATTTATTGCCCACCCTGAATTGCTGAGTGTGCGCCTAAGAGTCAGCCACATTGCTGTGAGCCTGGAATCACATTGTAGGTCTGAGTGGGTAGGGACGAAACTGATCCAATTAGGTTTATACAACAATCACTAGTTTCATGGCCACAAGGGGAAACAGCATTTCCATATCTACTCGTCAATTCCTCTGAGAATCTTGTATGTTTCAATAAGGTCACCTCTCATTCTTCTTCACTCCAGAGGCCAAACCTCCTCATAACAGTCCCTCCATCCCCAGGATCATCTGAGTGAACCTTCTCTGCACTGTCTCCAATGCCAGCATAGCTCTCCTTTGATAAGGGGCCGAAACTGTTCACAGTATTCCAGCTGGGGTCTGACTAATGCCTCGGACTGTTTTAGATCTCCCCATTTTGCTGATCTCCCCATTTTGCTCTTACAGATAACGTCAATGAGAAAGCTGAGGATGACAGTGATTACTGTGATGACCTATACTGCCCAGCCTGTGAGAAAATCTTTCAAAGCACAAAGGCGTAAGTTTTTCCAGTTCAACAGCCTCTGTTGCAGGGCAATCACTCTCTCCTTTACTGGGGGATAGTTCCTCGATGGTGTGGGGTGAGGGGGGTGGGGTCTGGGACAGTGGTTTTGGGGAAGGCGTGGTGGTTCTAGGCAGTGACTCGGTGGCGGTCTCTTGTGTTACTTCCTGTGACTGGTCTCCCATTTACCTGCAGCCTGAAGAATCACAGAAAGTCCAAGAAACACCGGGAGATGGTGATATTACTCCGGCAGCAGTTGGAGGCAGAGGAAAATGATCTGTGTGCACGGTCAGCAGAGGGTCAACCTGGGGATCAGGATTCAGGAGAGGATCAACCTGGGGATCAGGATTCAGGCAGAGACCCACTTGGAGATCAGGAATCAGGAGACGATCATCTTGGAGATCAGGAATCAGGTGGGGATCAACTTGGAGATCTGGAAAATGGAGAGGATCGACTCAGAGATCTGGAATCGGAAGAAGATCAACTCATAGAGGAAGTTCAGAGGTAATGACACAGAGGGACATAGATAAGCTGCAGAGCTGGGCTGAGAGGTGGCAAA